CTTATAAGCTGATTAAGAAAAAAAAATGCAGAATTAAAAGAAAACTTAATGAGATTCAATATTATAATACTAGAATTTACGCTTCTATTATTTCTATGTAAAGATTAGAATTCTTCTACATATTATAAGAAGTAGATTTCATTTTAACAATAAGATAAGAAGTTAAACCATAATGAGTAATATGTATAATGTATATATAGTCACAACAACTTTAAATTGTATTAAAATCGGTTATATAAAAATTGATAAATTCTTTGAAAAATTAACCTTATAAATGTAGAGAAATAAATGAATTATTAATCTCCACATCTAATTTAAACTTTGCCTTAAAATAAAATTTTAGTCAGATTTTCACGTTAAAAATTATTACTTTTAATGGAAAAGCATAATGTTCAAAATTAACTCTAAATTTTATTGGCGTAATCTAACATTTTCCACAGCGTCATATTAAAGAATATATTATTAATAAATTGATAAATAAAATATATAATAAATGCTTAATATAGGCTACGGTCAACGTGACGCTACAAATGTTTTGGAGCGTTCTTCTTCTCTTTCTTTCTTCATTGAAAGAAAAGAGAAAAGGAATGCTTCGAAGCATTTGTAGCGTCACGTTGACCGTAGCCATAGTGTAGGATGCCAAGTTTGGCGGTTGGTTGTGGCGCGTGCGATATTGATCACGCGGGATCGGCGTGACACGCGAGTCGCGAGCGTGCGAGTGTGTTCTCTGCGCGAGGCGAGAGACAAAAGCGAGCGAGCGTCTATAAGGAACGTAGCGAAAGACACAGTCCGCGAGTTACCGAGAATTATATTATATCCGAGAACTATTATATTTTATATCACTTCTGAATATCGATTAAACGATCGCATGTTAAAAGATCTATCCTCCGCTCTATTTACCCGCATATCATATCATATCTTAAAATAGATATACAATATATAAATAATAATGATAAAATTATACAATAATAATAAGATTATAATGAAAATCGTTCAATATTTCTCTTTACGTATGTAAAAAGTTGATAAAGTTCGGTTAGTATAAAATGATCATTACCTATAACCGCGAAAAGTCATCGTACGAGTTAAACGCGAATATTATCCACTCTCTCACGTGATTTTACTCGTTCATTAAATCTTGGATATAGCCTTCTCTTTGCCGTCGATACGAGAATTTACGAGCAATACATCCGCATTGCTTTGTAAAGGACGTATACATCCTGCGGAGAGTGCACTCTCATCGAATACGTGACGGGGCATCGAGGGTTCGCCGCAGGGCCAGTGCGGCGTTCACGTGTCACGCGTGTCGCAACACGCGCGTGTTATCGCGCAAAATGACACGTCCGTCGCGGACGCGTAACAGCCGGATGTAGGTTGGACGCGAGAAGACAGGAAGAGCCACGGAGCGAGGCTCTGATCGACGTGACATGAATAAAAGATCGAGCGAATGTTTCTCGGACTACTTTTCTCGGCGCGCCGATATTGACTGTCGTCTTGACGTTCGCGCCTCGATATCGTCCGCCGAACCATTCGTCGTAATTAACCCTTCGAGTGCTTTTTCAATTGTTTTTACATCTTCGCGCTTGATAAATATACAGACTACAGACTGAAGCGAAACATTTGCAGTTTATCGCGTACCTATACGCCGTTCTCAAAATGCGAAAATGACGGCCAGATTATTCAATATATCAATGAATTTTCTTGCTAAAGATATCAAAGATCACTCATTAAATTTCAATTTGATATCTTAATATAAAATTCTAAATGACAAACAATATTTTATTATTTATTGGATTTTTGATCGCTTGTTATCTAAAAAAATCAACTTCATATTTCACTAAAAACACAATATGCAGTTTCGAGTTTTCGTAAGACAGTCATAATTCTGAATCAATTCTAAAACATTAACAAAAATATTTTATTATTATATTATTATAGTGGCATATGATAGCTGCAAATTTGGGCAGACCGTGAATACGTGCGGGACCGATAAACAATATGGATGGAAGAAGAGAAGATAACGAGCTATTCATCGGCCATTACGTTTACAATCCGTACCCGAGATACATATATCGAGAATTAATTTTACAGCCTATTCGTCCCTATGCGTTTTGTTTGGGGGCCACGGATTTATTGTTTTTTTTTTTCGTCAGCGCGTGTAATGCATACGTTATGCGCAAAGTGTTTTCAGCGCATCGCTGATTTGCGTTACAAAGGCAAGTTTTTAATCACGCACACGCGAGTAAGCGACACGTGAAAAAAAAAACGTGCAAATTTTATTCAACGGTGGCAAAATAACAATCCTTGGATTCAGATACGGATATAATTTGTAACATAATAGTTTTTAACATCAAACACGAAATAAACAATGCGTAAACTTTTTGCATTAGAAATGATATCCGGAGAGATCCTCCCTCATTCGTACGAGAATATTTTGGTACGTTCTTCCCTGAAAATAAATCTTTGTCGAGAATTGCCTGAAATTTACCTTCGAAATGAAAATCAGATGAAAGGATTATAAATATTCCATATTCATTTCAACATCACGATTATCCTTAATGGTCCTTTATTTTAACTCAACCCCGTAAATATTCAGTCAATTTCATTCACGTTAAAGCGCAAAGAGATAAGAACGTAATCGTCGAAAGTGCCATCACGTTCGTATTTCAAAAAGCTATCAAAAAATGCAATCGTCGACAGTTGATGACAAAGAACGCGGTGAAAAAGAAAGAGAGGTGACAGGAAGTATAAAGGAGGGACAAGGCGATAAATTATAATGATGTTCGAGGCGACGCATACCGAAAGGGTTCTTAATGAAAGACCGTAATTAAAGAGTCGCGCGCGAATGAGGATTCCCTCAAACTTCGTAATCTCGCTTCCACGCGCGGCTCTTTCCATGCCGACGACAATGGATGTGCGAATGTGTCACCGCCACTCGTTATCCGCGAATTATTTATTCTACGCCCGTCAATATTGAATTTGCCCCTATTATTGAAACATCCCGTCGGTAATTCGCTTCAACGCGCGCGCCGCTCGTAATCGCCGAATCCGCTTAATTTCATCAGAATCGGCGAATTGAGCACAACCGGAAACCGCGCATCTCCGAAAAACGGTATATATCGCTATTTTCCTCGCGATTTACGCGCGCGCGCCCTCCTGTAAACGCATAAAGTTCTTTAGTATTTAGTTAAAATTGTAATATTATTTTACAAATGTTAGATTATAATACGAAAATTCCGAATAAATATAATATAAAGAATAATATACAAAAACCCCGTTAACTCTGAGCAGAAATAAAAGAGAGAATATAAATTGATGCACCAATAAGTATACTTATCAAAAAATTATATAATTATTCCATTGCATCAGCAAGTAGACAGCATTTAATATCTGCGAATGGTAATATTTCACAATGTATAGCAATAATTTATATATATTAATCTACATAAATGCGATTTACATTCTCCATTTTATTATCCCTATACATAACAAATAATCTATTGTGATTTACTAATCCATATGTATATTTGTCCAAAATATATTATAAATTTATACTCGAATTTAACGAAGATTTATTTCTGTTATTTATCATTCTTTTATTTGTAAGAAAACAAGAACGTTTTCGCATTAATATAACGTAGCAGCCGCAACATCGATTAGCGTCAGTCTCGAACTCGGTCGCTGTCATCTAATAAACAGCGCGGCATACATAATAATTTAATGCGCGATGTTCGTCAAATATCTTCAAAGTTGCAACGCCCGCCAATTCCCTATCCTTCAATATCAGCCGAAACTTCGGCCATTACTTCCAGGATTTGTGCCACGAAATACAAACATTAAATGTAAAGTCGCTCGTCATCGTGCAACGTCGGCCGCATGACAATGGATATGCATCACCTGCACTGATATAAGATGCAAAAAAGTTGAGGAAGGTGAAGAGATTGCGCCGCGAGAGGCAAGGCTGGCGTTAATAATTGGACGTTTCGGTACTAGCCTCACAATCTTCCCGAAAAGATTTCATTTCCCTTCGCAGAAAAGGAAGAGACGTTGAATTCAATTTTTAAAATAATTCACAGCTGGCTTCTTCCTGGCGACAATACGCGCGAGACAACCATGAACGCAAAGATAACACGCGCACTCGAAAGTATTCTTTTACATAAAGTACAGTATATAATGCGATATCTTATTGTACGGTATGAAAAGCACCTAACGATTCAGGTATTGAATAAAATATCTGGAGTAAGTATAGATTCGCGTAAGGGGGGAAACTTCTCGCTGACGCACAAGAATATCTTGAGATTCTGCGGAAGATCTATTTCTACCTGGAAGACATTTTCCATAAATAACCGTCGATGTCTGTCTTTGAAATCAACAGAGCGAGACTCACGCAATATATTTTTCTAGCAAAGTATCGTGCCGGATATTTCAGAAGATCTGTCAAGCAGATACTTCTGTTCCTATTGCTTACGAAAACGTCGCGTGGGTTGAAAATTTAATCGAGTGCCGGTAAAGTAATACATACGGATCTGGGTCGTTTCGCCAAAGGCGGTCGCGCGCTTTGCCAACGTGCGAATAAATAATGCAAAAAGGTTGCGGGCGTCTCTGGAATGTTATTTTATTTTACTTTGAACGTAATTCGCAACTCTACATATTTTTTCGGTAACTATAGAAGACGGAATTATATGACTAAAGTTCGGTAGGAATGCGAGATCCTGTATTTTATAAATATGATAATCGACTGACTACATAAAATCCGAGATAGCTTGTAAAATTGCGCGTGATATAACATATTAGAATAAGTAACAATGTATGCACGCATAGAGAAAAGAACATTACTGTAGCAAATTTCCATTATTTCCTGCACGCTATACGTGTAAAATTCATTTGTATCTACATACGTCAACTTTTAATCTTACTTATATTTTTTATGCACTTGAGATAATTTATCCCGAAATACTTAATAAGGAACAGCGAATTAACAAATAAAACTCGTATTTCAGGTAACGTGGATCAGACGAAAAGACAGACAACTACTCACATTAGGTAGAGACACACATTCTATAGACACACGGTTCGTTGTCGCAAACAATCGCAACGGTCCTAGCTGGAATCTACTGATTAAGAACGTCAAGCAAGAAGATGCGGGTCTTTACGAATGTCAGGTAATATGTGATGTTCACAAGAAAATATGCTATTCCCGAATAAATAGGGCCATAAGTAAGGTTGTAATCGCACTGTGATATACATTATGTCTTTGTATAATATTACTCGTAAAAGAAATTAGATATATTTATATAAACTCTACTATAAACTTAGCACAAACCTAACTTTGATTTATAATCCGTAAAATCTTAATAATTCCGAAAACATTTGCAAATTGTGAAAATTGATCTCTTCACCCACAAATTATATGACACTTTAGTAGATCTCATTTGTTACTTATTAATTTTCTGTAAATAAAATTAGTTTACAATTTACTCAAATTAAAACGGGTGTGTGAAGTTAACAACCCTATTTTAAAATTCGATAGTTCTGATTAGAATTCCAACTTCTTTTCGAACAGTATAGGAATATTTTTATGTTTATATCAGCATAAATTTATGCTGATTGAATGTACGTGTTTTGAATACAAGACAAGTATCCTTTTTCACCACAAAAATATCCAATTTCAAAATTTAAGTGAGTTATTTCGACAAGTATTGCTATCGACTGATTCTTAACACAATTTTTCTCCTCTGTCCGTAACGGAGTTTTTCAACCGTAAAAAATAACAAGCGGGAGAATTGCCAGGTTGCACCGATCTTTACTACTGGCCGCATGCATCAAATGGCTGGTGTTTATCGGCTCAGTAGTGAAAACCGATCGCGGTCAGACAGCAGTAATATTGTATATTCAATGTGTTAAACCTATCAAATAATAACAGTTCCCTTGGTAGGAAGCTGTTATTTGTAGAGAACCTGTTGAGCATCCCTCTTAATGTGATATATTAACTTAATTATACTACAAAGTAATTATATGTAATATCTCACTAGAATTCGTTCTTATTTTTGCAATGTGCTGTTTTATTCTTTCTCATGCATATACGTATATGTATAATATATGCATAAAGAACAGTATATTTTATAAATCATAGTTCTCGTTTCGCGATGCTCTAATAAAATAGATTCAGACAGCACCAATGCAGCAGCGATTCGTGCGATTGAACATCACGGAGGCGTACACGGTGATACCGGGTGGGCCGGATCTCCACGTGAAGCAGGGATCCAGCCTGCGTTTGGAGTGCCAGCTGATGGCGGCCGCAGAATCGCCCAGCTACGTGTTCTGGTATCGCGAGGCGCGCATGATAAATTACGACAACGAGCCCGGCGTTAGATTCGAGCTCAGGCAAAATGGCTCTGTGCTCGTCGTGGAGAAGGTGAAGCTCTCACACGGCGCGAATTACACGTGTTTGCCGAGCAATGCCAGACCGGCTCACATCATGATACATGTCATCGAAGGTGAGCAATTGTTCGGCTTGTGACTTATTAATCTTCCGATTCCATGGATACTTAAATAATTTTGTCTGATAAACAGATTGACATAGATTACTAAACGACTCGATAGATGCGGTGATAATATATAACGCACTCGATCTTATCAATTTAATATTTAGTATTTAGTCATAATAAAGAAAGAATAAATATACTATTTTCTTAGGTATAATTACATTGATTCTACATATGCTAAGATTATACAGACTGAAATATAACGAAAATTTAAAAATCGTATATTGATTCGGCTGTTTTTTTTTTTTTATCGTAGTATCGAAGACTCATCTTTATATCTCGCAATTTCATTGCAAGCTCTTTCCATCTCAGCTCTTGAAAAAATTTCTCTCGTCGATCATCGAAAATGCTGAAAATCAAATCCTCTTTCTCCTCGAACCATTAAGAAAACATTTTTTTTATTTATGCTTTCACGTATATATATATATATATATATATACGCGTGAAATCTGGATTCGGGTAAAAACAAACGTAGCCAATATAGGACAAATTTTATAGAGCGTAAAATCTGCGAACCACCCTCAATCTCGGAGGATCGTAGTATATAGGACAGGTCGCCAATTTTTTTCGTCCCAACAAGGAAAGTTAACCAGTATCCTACTTCGGCTGCTCAATTCCGACCGGGATCAACGGGCGACCATTTCAAGTTTTCTATCTATATATTGACGAGGGAACGCGTACATACATTTGCAATATGAAACGCGTATAGACAGTAATAACTAAACTAGTGACATAATAAAATAAATATTTTTCTTGTTAAAGAGAGAACTCTTTGATTTGCAAAAACGAGTCATTTCTTTAATTAATTTAAATTTCTCGTTATTATTTTAAATTAATACATTTTACTCTGTTAATATTTTGCTTGCTTTTCGCTTAACGTAATTCAGAAACCAGTAATTTGCAGAAATCAATAATTTGCAATATTTATACGATGTATCCTTAGCAGAGCGCAATCGATATAAAATATGCTGCCGATCAGATATTTCATAAGCACTCTGTACGTCCAATTACATTTCTCTCGCTCGCGTTTGATCCCGTCAAAGAATCTCAACTATTTTCACAGAAGAGGAGAAACCGGCGGCCATGCACGGAGGCGATCGGCGAAATTCCACGGCGGCTACGTCAAGCAACATCATACTGACCCTCGTGGCTCTCCTGATTATCGCAGATATAAGACGGTGCTTCCAGATTCTCATCTGCCACGCCACGTGACTATCGCAAACCGACACTTTCGTGAAGCCGAAGCTCGCTGGGAGAAGTTCAAAGATTTCACGATCTTTTTTTCAACGATTCAAAACGCCTCGCCGAATCCACGTATCGAAAAATCATGGCCCTTAGCTCATCTCATATCTCGAGAGCTGAAATACTCTGGCGATGAAATCCAAACGTGAAGGAAGATGTGACAGATTCCGCGTGGGATCAAAGAAAAACCTATTTGCGAAACTTGAAGCGAGAGATTCAGCTGCAGACAGTTTTCCAAGAGTCTGTATCCCCAGTGGCGAAATCTAAGGAGGACTGTGAAGTTTCACGTAATCATGTAACTTTCGTTTAAAGAAACGTCTTATCCAAGTGACACTACTTGATAGAAACTCTGCTTGAACTCGTAACGAGTGAATAATATTCGTGGAATGAGATTTGGATGTCTTTCGACGTGGACGAATTTCTTCGCGAACTTCAAAAACTAAGTTGCCTTGTGTCGTTGGTCATCATAAACTCGCGCGCATTGAAACAGAAGTTTTTTTTTTCGCGAAAACTTATTATTTCTACTATTAAAATATCTTCAGACTTTAAATTTTATCAACCGCTTGAGATAAAAATACCACTTATTTTCTTTTAGTATAAAATTTTCAATCCTTTCTGCATTTAAAATATTCGGAAATGTAATTTGTTAAGAAATTTTACAAAGGAATGGTACAGAAAGTTAAAAAAAAAAATAATAGAATAGCCATTACCTAGCAATATGTATTTGAAACTAAATTTTTAACAACAAATTTTAAAATCTTTTCAGAAATCTTCACATTTCATAAAGATAGAGTATTACATTCGCAAATACATTACATCTTCGCGAATAAATCTAACGATGAAATCTCGTCGCAAGGGAGTCAACATTTCATCATGGGAATCAGGTATTATTTGCTCCTTATAAGTTGGCAAGTTTCTAGCAAGCAGTTTAATGCAAATGGGATATTGAGTTCTGTAAACAAAAGTTGTGTCTTAGTATGTTCTAGTTAGCTTTCACCAATGTTGATGATAATAAACTCTCACAATTTAGCATTGTAAATATTACGTCAAGTTATTTCACGAATGCATGCATTTAGGTTTCAAACAATGATTTTTAAAAAAATTTATCAACGCAAATTATAAAATCAAATTCACATTCGAAATTGTGTTCATAAATAAACTACCAACCAACTTGAATTTAATTAGAAATAGAAAAAATACTTTTACCCGCACGACTCACACGCATACTTGCAAAGTTGATTCTCTATTATTCTATGCTTGTATTTACTGTATATTAGAAAGCATGCAAGTGTCAGCGTTCCAGTCATTTTATTTCATACGTGTGCAATACTATTATTAGACAAATTAAATAAATATATTAACATTCTCTAATCAGTGTTTCAGGAAAATGTTATTGTCAATAAAAATTAAAAATAAATTTTGAATATGTTGTTTTATATTATATAATATTACATTCATATAAATAAGGTAAAAATGCTGAATCAATAAAAAAAATGTTTTAAGACAAAAAAAAGTCAAAAAGCCCCTCTCTATCCTGAAAATGAAAAAGTTCCTCCCTGTCTTGAAAATGTTTTATCCAATTCTTTCTTCAACTGACTCAAATGGCCTCTCTCTTTACCCTATATCTATTAATTTTTCACATATATTACATTAGCAATAATTAATATTCCGCATAGAATAAAACATCTCCAAATAAAAATATTCGCTCTTTTTACACAACTTTAAATAAAATTGTGCAGAATACTTAACCTCTTATTCTTTTTAATGCAATAATATAACATTTATCTATATTGCACAAGCACGTGATGTATAATAAAAGGCAGACACAAATAGTGTGTATCTCTTCAAATACAATAATAAAAAAGCTTAAATTATTTTTATTTGTACGCAAAACTAATTTAACCAAATTAAAGTCAATATTTAATAACTTCATAAACATTTTATACTGCTACTTTTTCTACTCGTTTGAATAGCTAATCATTAGTGTCCGAATCAAATTTTTCCGAGAAAAAGCTATCGACATTCGATTTCCTTTTTCCCACCGGAGAAAGGAAGAAACTTCCGTTCGGTAAACTTCAGCCGCTGTATATCTGCGTTCTAAAAATTTCAACAGTGGCTTGTCTCAAATCAATTCACGATTTCCAGACGTTAACTTTTAGAGGAGCAAGTATCTGCAGAATAATCTGCTGAACGATAAGACGGTTGAAAGAAGTAAGGAGGTCGAGAACGGAATGCGTCGGAGAGAAGAGCGATACACAGCGTAGCTCTCCTCTCAAATCGAAGTTAAGATATGCAAAAGAGAAGTTTTTGAAGATGTGCATACGGAAGCAGTCGATAAATAACGTGGTAAAGGGGAGCGAATCTGCCAACAAGCCAGCACTCGCTAAAAGTCCAAACGATGGGAAAACTTTCGACATCCTGAGAGATGAAGAATTTCTTTTTTAAAATTGTAATTTATAAAATAAATTTAATCAGAAATGAAAATGTCTTCTTACGCAACGTTTAAAAAAAATTGCTCTTGCAGAGATTAACAAACGCTACTTATAACATCTTCCGCACAAAAATGGACTCTTTCGAGAAGATAGCGTGTAATAATTTCTCCTTACAAACTGTATTTTAAAATGAGCGGAGCGTATTTTAATCTCCTCTTAAAGTTCCGTAAACGATCTCGCAAACTGCATAGTTAATTACTTTAGAGTATTGTGTTCAAATTTTTCTTAGTGATTACGAAAGAAAACATTATATCGAATCGATTTCCCAATAAAAAAAAACATGAAAAGTTGTAGTTTGTATTATAATAAAAAAACAAACAATAATTACACTTTAATAGTTCTTAATTTTTTAAATATAATTTTAATTTTAGTCACGCTTTGACATTTTTTAATTTCAAAATGTAACTTTAATTACAGTATATTTTACGTGTTAAATATAATTACGTGCGCAATAATATTTCTCTTAAATACAGAAAAATTGTGAATTGTTATATAAACATGAGAAATATCTTGAATATAGATATACATTATTTGTGTGCAGTATTATTGCTACACCACATTGTACTTTAAAATAAACTAGTTAATTTAATAATCTAGTTTTTTTAGAAATGAATTTTAATACAGGGCAGACACAAAATTATCGAAATAAAATTGCATTAGTTTCAAGAAGACGCAAATAAAATAATTAAAATATTTACAGATTCTTACATACAAATACATTTCTAAAATTTATTTGCAAACTAATGTGAAACAAATTTTTCTTTCTTTCTACATATTTTTTACCATAAGATATCCCGAGACTAAAATATCGATGTAAAAGTTACTTAACAAAAGTAGCTCTCTTTTGACGCATGCATATGTGTGTATAATCATTTATTTATATAACATAGCGAAAAGTGGTGATAAATAATAGCTGTCAAAAAGAGAAGTTTAACAACTCCTAAATTCCAAAAGTTTGAAACTTTGCGCACATACCATTATTTTCAGTTAGCTAATAATTGTTGGTAAAACGTTATACCTTTTTTCAGAAAATAAAATTATTATTAAAATTTTTCTTATTTCCGAAATGTTAACATAACAAAATGAATCTTTAAACGGTCTTTAGACAAGAAAATACGAAATCAAATAAAGAAATAGCGAACTAATTTACTACATCACTTTAAAAACATCATTTTGATATATCGAAGTATAATTAATTTATCATGCCTGCATTGCTATTGATTAGTACACTCAGTACACTGTAAAGCTCGAAAATGAATATTTTAACTGTTTTATTTGCGTCATCCCGAAACTAATGCAATTTTATTCCGACAAAAATTTATAATTTAGTGCCTGTTTCCTGAATTAAAATTCATATTTAAAAAAAAAACTACATTTTCAAATTCACCAGTTTATAAAATATTTGATACTTGTCCCTCACATCTATCGATTTCATCTCCGTAGATAACAACCATCCAATCATGATTCTCACTTTCTATGATAATATTATACTATTCAATCAACGGTATTATAGTTACAGATACAGATCTCAAGATTATCAGCTGCAGGATACAAAGATCCAATTCTACTGTCAGTATTGCAATTTTCCCTCTAACCCACCGTTATATTGCAATACTGACAGTAGAATTAGATCTTTGTATCCTGCAGCTGATAATCTTGAGATCTGTATCTGTATCTACCGTTGATCGAATAGTATAATATTATCATAAAAAGTGAGAATCATGATTGGATGGTTGTTATTTACGGAGATGAAATCGATAGATGTGAGGGGCAAGTATCATATATTTTATAAACTGGTAAATTTTTAAAAATGGTTTCTTCTCTTTTTTATCAAACGATCTTATGCCACAATCCCCGTTTCATGCTAGATGTCGAAGTCATCGCGAATCGGCAACGACGAGTTCTTCTCGCGTTCGTCACGCGGAAATGGCGGCCGCGAGGTCACCGGCTAAAAACCGTCGCCGAAACCGGCACAACGGGTATCGGCGTATCGCCCACATGATACGCGTTATCAGCGTTGAACCATAATTAGCACGCAGCTGCACGAAACGCGGCAAGCAAGCGCGATAATGCATCTACGGCGATTCGGTTGGTTCAAGACGCGCGGTATATCGTGCTGCGTCGTTACGTAAAAGCGAAGGACGGCGCCGGTCTAAAAATAGGCGCGCAATAGTCGCGCTATCTCACGCCGTTTCTGCTCACCGTCCCCCGCGACCCCATCTGCGTCCCCCTCCTCCTTCCCGTCTCCGTCCCCATCCCCATCGTCCCGTCCCGGCCATGTCGCCCACGTCCCCGTCACCAGCCCACGTCATCCATCCATCCTTCTCGCACTCCTGCCATTTGCCGCCATTGCGGCCGAAAAAGAAAGCCGCCGCGGGGACAACGGCGCGTATATTGCATTCCATCGAGTTTTCCTCTCAAGGTCAGATAGCCCACCGTTCGAATTCAATACGAACCACCTCGTCTTTAATGCCTTCTCGAGTACTGGGCTCTCGCATACCTGGCAGCGGTTCTCATCGTTCATATAACGAGAATTGCCCGCAGACCGTGTGTGTACTCTCTCGCACGAACTTCTCTGATCGTTTGATGGTTCGACCGATTCGATTTCTGAACGTATGCTACAAAATTATGTCGGAAACGAACGGAACCGATTTCGAGACCAAAATTTTACAACGATAACTAATATAATTCTAGAAACTTTTGCAAATATATAGTGTAATAAATCAAGGTCTGTGATGATTACATCGAGTTTTTAAACTCTATCTCCGATTTCTTCGATTAGTATCTCAGTAATTTGAATTGGATGACCCTGGTCTTCTCATTCGACAAGCCGACAAGAAAGCGGATCGGAACGCGACAAGGGAAATCAATAACGGCCAACGCAATCGAAGCGACGACGGTTGGCACGTCCGTCGTCGGCTGGCAGCCGGCTGGAATTTCCTATCGATCGTCTGCGTGTTCCAGAACGTTCTACGAGCATCCGTTTGAACGCGCCCAACGCGATCGCGCTACTCCGGATCGGCGATCAAATCGTCGAACAGACGCGCATTCGGAATTCGAAATTTCCTGAA